GTTTTAAAATATGTTAGAACATTTTCTTAAAACTTTGTTCTTAAAAACTAAAACCAAAAACTCAAATCTAATGCTGCTAAGTATATGAAATAATATAAAAACTAAGTTTTAGCAGAAATTAGGAGCTGTGTTCTTACAAGAAGTAAAATTAAAAATTTTGTACAACCGACTTCAATATGTATAAAATGAGAACATCATCAATGTAGTCGAAGCCAATTAAATACACGTTATTAAGGTTGACTCAAAAACAACTGGTCAGATCTTGATCAAATTTATATGGGACCACATGGGAAGCACCAGCTTTCAAATAAAAAATGTCATCAAAATCGGTTCACCTAGAAAAAAGTTATGACACACATTAAAAAACATACAGTCGAATTAAGAACCTCCCCCTTTTTTGAAGTCGTTTGAAAAGTGAAAAAGTAGTAGAAACTATAAACTATCAGCTTTTTCACTTTTAAACATCTTGTTTGTATTATTTATGTCATAGTGAATGTCAAAACAACTTACAATGTTGGATAGAAGAGTGTTACGAGATATGCTGCTAGCCGAAATGACCCCTGAAGCCAGGGTCACCAAACACAAAGTCTGAAATGAATTTCGCTATAAATACTTTGCATTAGAAACATTTATTTCACAAAACTGTAAACGCAAGAAACTCCGCAAGATAATTATGTACAATTTTACAGAATCAGAATAGTTAATTTGTCAAACATATAAGTTTAAACATTTAAGGTCTTGCGAGGGTTACAATTATTACTACGGTATGTTTTGTCTTAAAGACATAAAAATATAATTGTTTGTTCTTTTGAAGATCGTGCCATAAAATAAATTAGAATAAAAATTAATAAAATTGGAATAGTAATTAAAATTCTACTTTAATAAAATTAACTTAATGACAATAAAAAAGTAATAAAAGTCATTATATTGATATTTAGTCAAAACTATCATTCAAGAACTCATCAATTTTATAATAATATTTCTCTATTAATAACTCATTTAGCACCTTTTTAAATTTAAATAAGGTCATTTTTTATTGAATTAGGTAGTTATAAATTCGAGGGGCAATACCGAAAAACCTTTTATCATTAGTGACAATTTTACATTTTATGTAACATAACTTATGGGTTTGGATTCTTTCTAATAGCAGATAGTTTTTGAAAAAGAAATGGATTCTTTTTTTTTTACAAAAATAGCTGTTTCCAGAATATATAATAAGAATGATTAAGATTTGATTATTGATTAACATAAGGAAAACAGCTATCTGTCATTTTGAGACCACACATTGACCTTACACATCCTAAATAATACAAGCTCCGTATCAGAAGACTGCCTCCAGAAAATAATGCCATATCACAAAACTGCAGGAACAAGTACATGGTGTTCTACTGGCTGTTAACTTGTTACAATGTTAAGATTAAATTAATTTTATTAATGATTTTCCACATTAAAAGAAATTTAAATAATTTACTGTTAATTTAACCCAATAATTCATTTTAAAATGTTACTACATTGTTTTCAAACTTAGCAAACGAAAGTTTAGTTCCGTTAAAAACAGTTAATATTTAAGAAAAAATCTAGAAGAAACTGGGTGAATATCTGAAATGAAACTGATGCCACCGCAATATAAATAGAAACCCGTAAAGAGGTGAATTAACACAACACTAAGCGTAATAGTTTGATTACCATCAAAATTAAATTCATGTCGCTGATTGCTCTGGTCACTGTGAAATGTTGAATGTGTGATTTAGTTTGCGTAGGGCAATTTATAAGTGTATCGATTACCACTGCCCAAAGAATTATATTAAGAAAACCAACCACGCTTGTTTCTTTACACTGGTGTGACATAAGCATGACCTGCTTTGTTCAGCACGGTGGAGCAGCGCTTAGGGTGCGTGTAGTGTGACTGCAATGCGTAATGTGTGCATGATTTTGTATTTTTTAACTTTTTTGTTTCTACTAGTAAGTAATAGGTACAAAGAGGAGTGGATGCTGTGGCCCATAGACATCTACGTTTATCCTCGATTAAAATCAAAATGCAGATACGTTGTTACCCCTGAGGACCAAGATGGAATGCCTCGGTTTCAGTAATAAGGGTCTCCGGTTCTTTTAGACAACGTATCTGCATTTTGATTCGTAATCGAAGATAGATGTAGATGTCTGTGGGCCACAGTAACCACTTACCATCAGGTGGACTGTGTGCTCGTTTGTCACCCTTATCCTATAAAAAAAAACTATTTTACGCTGGTATTCTGTGTGAGCGTGGTCCTTCCCAGGTCGAACCGACCCATTCGTGCTGCAACTATAATATAGCTGTAGCATGGCTTTACTTCGTCAAGTTATCTAATTGTACAAAAATGTTTAAACATTTTAAATATGCTGTTACAAATCTCATAAAATAGTCGGCTAATGCAGTACGTCAAATTAATAATTATTTCAACAGACTTCGTTATAACTCTTTATTTCTTAGTAATAAATTCACAAATAAAAAACTTGGATTTTGCGATAAATGGGAATTGGAAACAATAAGAACCGTTTAAAAGGTCTTTCAACAGCATCATCATCTCCTTAGAGTTTATCTCTGCTTGTGAATGGCTCTGCTTTCCTATTCTTATTCCTCCCATTCGAATTATTGACGTCGTCGAAATAAAATTTACAATCTGTCATTTTAATTTTTGCTACATTGCTGTGAAGCCACGCTATAGGCCTGTAAATTCTTTCGCTTTTTAATATGACCCAACAGTGGAAGTCTTTTCTTTTGAATATCGTGAGTGATATTCAGATCCCGGAGCTGCCTTGCACGTATTCGTTACCTATAATATTAAACCTTTCGACTCAGCACTTTCATCTCAGCAACTTGAATAGCTCGTAGGTTGCCCAAGTCATAAATCAGCCTGCAGATGAGAAAATGTCAAGGGATGATCTTATAAATTATGTCTTACATGTAAAAGTAAATCTTTCATTCTTGTATGGAATTTTGAAGAAGAAGAAGATTGCGTTAATTGCACTTGGGAGATGAGTTGGGTTATAGTAGATAAATATTAAAATTATATATATATATTCACGTCTGTAAAATACTGGCTAGATCAACAGTAAAGGTTTTACTCTAGCGAAACGTCGTAGATCTGCTTACTATATTTTCTTGTATTTTATGTTGTAATGCAAGCATATTTGCGCCATTCATCATGAGTGCATCTGAGGAGGATCCCTTTTCGCGTACATCAGAAGTGGTATAAAGTTCCTGTTATCACTCACATATAATCTTCGTATAATGTGATGAAGGCGTGGTGCTGTGCAGCTTGCTCTTGAATGGAAATATGCTGTCGGCGTGGGACGCCGCTTCCACATTATTTAGCGCTGGTCTCGACGGACATTTGCGTGAGGAAAGATTTGTCTTAAATATTGCTTTCAAAAAATATTTTTGTAGTAACAAGTGGTTAATTTTTTAATTGGTTGAGAGAAATGCCTAAAAGCCAAACTTATTCAACTAACTAACGTGAGTTTATTTGAGTGATTAATGACCCTGTTGAATTGTAGATTTTGCTTACTTCATTTTATTTTGTGTTTTGACTATGTCAACAGCCATACCGTAGCCGTAGCTCAAAGAGTGAACGATTTAAAAGGTCATGGCTCTTGGACATTTTATTTTGTGATAATAAAATGTCCAAGAGTTAAGTTTCATTTGAGTTGATTTAGCTGAAGTGGAATTAAGTATTGAAGAAGTTACCGGAGGTGTTTCCAAGCGTTCATACTCCTAGTTATTTGTTATCACAGTTTTATGTACATGCGAAATATGATTTAAATGGGGTACTTTTTAAAATTCGAAATGTTGTACAAGCGATGTACCGGAGAAATGTTTAACTTTAACATGTTAGGAATTGAGAGAATGAGTGGCCTTTTTGTGTTCAAATGTGTTGACGAGTGTAGCAGTTTTACTCTGAATATTGTTTGGTAGACAGAATTGGTGTTTTATATTGAGGGTTAGATTTGTGTGAAGTTGGTTGAAGGTACAATGTCGTACCGGGCTATGCCGCGCGGCTGTTGACATGACACGTTCGTCCGGTCTAGGCTTATGAATGTTTGATGTTGAAGGTGGGTTTGTGTGAAGCTGGTCGAAGCGACAATGTCGTACCGGGCAGTGCCGGGTGGCTGGTTCATGTGTGTGTAAATGTCTAAAGACAGGGTCAGTGTACCTATTCATGTCAGGATAGACGAGCGGAAGAAGTGTTGATTAATAGTGTTTGTTATAAGAATTTATGAAAATATATGGCCGAGGACGGTCGTATGTCAGGACTGGCCGTGTAGGCGCCTCTATATAATACTAACTAGATCGAGAGTAAAGGTTTTACTCTAGTAAAACTCTAGTAAATCTGTGGTAACATGGCAACCTTGGTTTTTATAGGATATTTCAAAAAAATATATATGTTATGTACTTATGGTACTCTATGAGAGCGTGTTCCTTCCCCGATCTAGCCACCCATTCGTGCTATCACCATAATATAGCTGCAGCGTGGCTCTATCACGTATAAATTAACTCCTCCTGAAGTCTAAAAATTTGGAACCCGGTGCTTCAAATAATTTTGTATTCTCATGAGTTATGAGAGTATAATTCTAGTGCGGCGTGCAATGACAATGGGTTGCGACAAGAACCTCAATAACGACGAATCTAATTACACCATGAACTTCACAATCCGTCAAACTGCTTAAGCTAGATCACAAATAAACGGACAAAAATACCTTTGTTAATTGCGTACATGAATGAGTACGCGCGTGTTTGAACACGCGTATTCTTTCTGGAGCGATTGGGTAATTAATAAAAAATAAAAATAAAAACAAGCTACCACACAGTGGCCAATGCTTTTTATTCGTGCATGTACATTTTTGACTAAATTAAATATTTTGAATACTAGACTTGGCCTAAGTTATTGACAAGAGTATTTTGTAGATTTTACAGTCACAAAAGGGAAAGAATATACAGGCCATCGTCTTTTCTTCTAATTTCAATGTTTCCATCCTAATCCTAATGAATCCCATGAAGACAAAAGTTGACCATAGCCAACGTCATCGTCGTAACCCAAATCAAGCAGTGAATCTTTTATCAAACCTTCTCCTAAGTAAGATTGTAGTTTCTGTGAGTCTTTTAGAATATTCCACGGAGCAACCAAACCGTGATATCCTGATGAGGGTCCGGCTTTTCCCATCGATGTATACACTGGTGGCGGGATGGACATTGTTCTATAAACTGGTTCATTGACAATTTGATTCTGTAAACGTGCTTTAAGATATTGTTCAGTAGTTATGCCCTGTGACACGATACTGGCTTTTAAGATTGGTTGTGGCAAAATCTGAGTCTTAACTATTGGTGTAGCCTTGTACACGGCTGAGGATGATACAGTACCACCATACGGAGCGCCGCCCATGAAAGGTGCACTATATAAAGTGTCTACTTTCGCTACCGGAGCTACATTAATAGGGGCAACTGAGGCTCCCTGACTTAAAATGGGAATGGGCGCTTTGTAAACCGGTGCAGTGACAGGATGTAGGTTAGGTCCAACACGTTTCACGACTGCGTTAAATCCAGATTTTGCATCTGCCCAGTACTCTACAACACGCAGACTGCCGTCAGGCTCCACCAGAGAATATGCACCTGTGTTACAAGCAATATTGTTGTTATTTTTTTATTAATTGATTTTTAAAACTTAAGACTGCTCACTGCTTACCTTTCACAGTATCTCCATCTCGTTTTTCCCATTGTGCTTTATTGTCTCCTGTGTGGGGATCTTTCACGGCATAGTCAAATGCGTAGCTGGGGTATGACTGTAACAAATAATGTAGTTACGGTAAAAGAGCATTTCTACTGGGATTCGTAGCCAATTAAATTTTTTAGTTTGTTAGGATTATCTTTTATGTAATCTTCTATATAAATAAAATGATAGAGGTTTGCAGTTGTGCGCGCATTACGGAAAAACTACTGGATAGATTTCAATTAGGTTTTCTTATTTTCACATTTCTTAGACACTTAGCTTGACTTTATAAATTATTACGATATCTTCATTTAATATAAAGTTATAATTTTTTTAAGAAACAACGATTCTTATAAGCACTACGTGTTCAGTGATAATGTAAGCAACGCGGACGAAGTCGCGGGTATCAGCTAGTTTTCTATAAAATTAAATACCAAACCAACTTACAGTTCACCTGATGTTAAGTGGCTATTGAAGCACATGAACACCTGCAAGCAACTTCAAGCGAAGAAGTATGGCATTTGACACTGTTTTGATCCCTATTCTTGTGGACAAGTTAGAAAGATACGGCCTACGGGGGACGGTGCTTAAATTTTATACGGATTTTCTCATGGGTCGTCAGCAAAAAGTTAAAATAATAGCACACATCAGCTCAGACATAGCTCTTAACTGTGGGGTCCCACAAGGCAGTGTGTTCGCTCCCAGCCTCTTTCTTGTATACATAAACGATCTGTGTCAAATGTCACTACATGAAGGCAAAGCTTTCACATTTATATGTACCGATGACACAGTTTTCGTGTTTCGTGGGAAATCCTGGGACGAAGTTCGACAATATACTGAAATGGGACTACATAGGGCTAACTGGTGGCTTAAACATAATTAGTCACCTTTGGGACTAAGATGGAATACTTCACAGTCTGTTATTATTCTGATACTAAATATATAGGTATGTACTTGAGATTGAAAAACATCAGTGCACGTACCGCAGCTAGGCAGAAATAGGTAACCTACCCAGCCGGCCTTGGCAGAAAAGAAGTCTTACATAGTTTAGGAATTCCCTTATATTTCATAAATCGATTATAATTTTTGGACATACATTTTTTTTAAATAATTCTGTTTGTTCAATATTTCTAATTTTAGCAGACATAAAATTAAGAAATGTGTATTCTGTGTAAGGTTTTTATAGCTTTTAATAAGTTATTCTTATTTATTTTAAAAGACTCACGTAGTAGCCAGGAGACGAATGTCCCGGGGCATAAATGAGCCCGTCTAGCGTTCCATCAGCCTTGCTTGTTGCTGCAAGCGCAAGGAGGCACGTTACCTGTGGAATAGGAATTAGCACTTATATACACTTAAAATATCAAATTGCTTCTTATCAATGTGTACTAAAATTAAACACAAACCGCTAAACATAATTTCATTTTTCATGTGTTGAGGTGCGATGGCTAACTGATCTAAAATGTACTGGTATGCAAGGAGCAATGTAGTCCATTTATAACCGATTGCCTTAGACCTTCATGTCCTGATATCGAGCGGATGTACAGCGTCCGCGTTCGCGCCTGTAGTGCCTGCTTCAATATTCAATAGTTGCATCATTCTTCTTTATTTTCATACAATAACCTTCGATTGGTGAAAACGCAAATATGTAAATATTATGAGCGATTCTACGGATGTTGTAACTAAGCCCAGGAATACGAGGAATTTACTTAATGTGCATTGTGTTACTTCTTGTAATAAAACTACCTACCTATAACTAACTATAACAAACGCATCCGATATAGTTAAAAGCACTCTCATTAATACTAGTTTTTATTAAAAAAAAAAACATTGAATTTGGTACAATAAGCAAAATAATAATCCCGATTAATTGCGCTGTTTCGAAACAATATGCTATTGTCCAACTTAGACTTAGACTAAGACTTAGACTTAACTATAGATCACTGTCTCCAACGTTAATATAAAGACTAGGACTTTGTCAAAGTCATTGTAATTTTTTTATAGAATAAGGGTGATTAACGAGCACACAGTCCACCCGATGGTAAGTGGATGCCATGGCCCATAGACATCTACATTTATCCTCAATTAAGAATCAAAATGCAGATGGGTTGTCACCCCTGAGGACTGAGTTGAAATGCTTCGTTTCCAGTAAAAAGGGTCTCCTGTTCTCTACAGTCACCATATAAAACACAGCAGCATTAAGCTGCTATTTTACGCTGGTATTCTGTGAGAGCGTGGTCCTTCCCCGGTCAAGCCGACCCATTTGTGCTGCAACTACAATATAGCTGCAGCATGGCTCTAGTGTGTAATTGTTTATGTAAATTAAATAAGTATCGTTCAAAAGAACATCGTTAATATTTTGTGGTATACTAACTTGTGCTTAACCTGGGCTACAAGCACAGGTTGTAAGGAAACATTTAAATAGTTACAGTTTTAAACTTATGTAACTTAAATACCGATAATTCTTGATGCGTATCATACTTTATGCAACTTGAACAAATTATTATTATGAATATTTGCTCTAATTGCGTCCAACCGTGGCACCTAGGGCAACAGCTGCGCGACTATGAACGATGTGAATTCGCACGCAACGAATGCAGTCGTTTTTACGATTCTTATCGTATGTTTTACATAATGATCCTATCGTATGTCATTAGAATCTAATACATAGAAAGAAAGATGGTATAACACATATTATCTAATCATTAGATAATATGTGTTATACCATCTTTCTTTTGGTATATTTATGTAAGTGTAAACTTGCTTATATAGAAGATGTGTACCTCTGGATCTATTTCAAATTTTACATAAGTAAGCTATACGAATTATATATATTAAATCATAGTTATTAACACGCGTTTATTTATCATATTGCAAGAATGGAAGGATAGGGGATATGTTTTTAATGTAACTAGGTATTCAGACGACATTCCACTTGTTACCTTGAGCTTAAAATATTCCTCTATCCGCTCAAAACAGTAAAAAAATTAAACTTAACATAAAAAGTAAAAGCTGAGTTCAAAAAACCAAAAAGAATAATATAATTTGCAAACTGAAGTCGGTGTTTTAATTCTTCTAACGATCTCTTAGCAGTGACTTCGAATACGGTCTCAATATTAAAGTCGAATATATCAGTCACTTTCGGTTTGCCGAAAATATAGTCATTATGACAAAATTAATGTGCACAGTACAATACTCGTAGTACTCCCAGTGGATAGGTCTTACAATCAACATGGATAAAACATCTAATGCCCATGGCACATTTCACTAATACACAACGCTCGAATTTGTTGATCCAGGACAAATTATTTGGATCCAAATCGGCTGGCCAGCATTCTAGAAATATGACACTCTTGCAGTATTGCTTAAAATCTTACATGTGTGTGTCAGTGATGATGAGCTATGGAAGCGATGTGGTCCTTCGCTGCTTCTTATATGAGGAAGCTTGAAGTTGTTCATAGAGCTATGCTTAGCTCGAATCTCTTACGGGGATAGCAACAGTAAAATCGAAATAACCCAACGAATTGTTAAACTGAAGTGGCAAAGGGCGATATGGTTCGAAAAACTGAGAACCGATAGGAAAAAAGTTTGTCTAGTGGTAGCCTTAGAAGGAGTGACAACTTGGTACGACATGCAAGAATTCCATGAATGGATGCAAGATCATATTTGTGACATTCCTTGGGTTTAGCCTATTTTAATAAGTGGATTTGTGATGGGTTGTAATGATAATGATATGAAGATAAGCATCAACAAAAAATTACAGCTTAAGACAATAATACGCGTTATAGTAGTCAAAACTAAAAGAAATAAATAATAATTAAAAATTGATCCCGAGGAAAAAATATCATCTTTTCGCAACGTTTTATTAACTTTATTCACGTTCCATCATGTTGGTACAACTAAATAAAACGATAATTTCATAAAAATATCAAAACTTAATAAATCAGCTGTCTAGGGTCAATATTCGCTTGGACGCTGAACTCTTTTATCTACCTTGGTACGAAACAATGCTTTAGGTATTACTACTCAATCTACCCTTCCCTTTCACACACGCGCTGCCGCCGCCCTGCCGACTCGTGTCGCTTCGCGTCAGCATTGCCAACATCTCATCGACCTACACGAGCTAAGCAGTCGGAGGTGGGGGTTTGCACACCCGCACTAGGACAGCGGTTAGATAGCTCAAAAATAACCTCAACAGAGGGGACATGATGATTGGTGACAGTACCAAATCATATACCAACATCATCCTCATCCCCATCATTGGGCCGTGTAGTGGCGGTTAAGAATATCCACTACCCCATATCTTCCCGTAGGTGTCGTAAAAGGCGACAAAGGGAAACAGGCAGGAGATGGGCAGCAGCATCTTCCTGATAACAGCAAAATTACAATAAAAAAACTGCGGTTGCCAACCCGCTCGCCAAGCGTGGCAACTATGGCAAATACCCCCCATGATAAAAGTTACAAAAAGACGGCCCCCAGTCCCCGGCGGCCCCGCTATTCCTGGCTACGGTGGCGACTATGGTAACGGCGGGGCAGGGGGTGCTAAGAATCTTCGGTGAAGGTTCGGTTGCCACCTAAGACGACTCGACCAGGCAACATACAACGCACGCACCCTGAGGACTGACGAGAAGATCGTGGAGCTGGAAGAAGAGATAGACAAGTTACGCTGGCATATTATAGGATTATCCGAGGTCCGAAGAGAGGGGGAGGGCACGGTAATCCTCGAATCCGGCAACTTGTTCTATTACTGGGAGGGCGACCATCTGTCCCAAGGAGGTGTCGGTTTTATCGTCCACAATTCTCTCGTTAACAACGTTGTAAAGATTGAGAGTGTGTCGACGAGGGTTGCGTACCTTATACTCAGAGTCACCAAACGGTATTCGCTGCAGGTCATACAGGTTTACGCACCAACCTCGGCATACCCCGATGAGGAGGTGGAGGAAATGTATGAGGATATCTCTAGAGATATCCTCATACATTTCCTCCACCTCATCCATGGCTCTAGAGCCATGCATTCCTCCAAAACCCAATATACGGTGTTAATGGGAGACTATCAATGCAAAACTAGGCACTAGAGAGAATGGTGAGCTGAAAGTAGGGAAATTTGGAATAGGGCAACGGAACCTAAGAGGCCAGCAGCTGGCCGACTTCGTGGAGAAAGAGGGACTCTTTATGATGAACTCTTTCTCCCAGAAGCGGCCCCACAGGAAGTGGACCTGGTCGAGCCCCGACGGTTCGACAAAATATGGAATTGACTTCATTATGACGACCAGACGACAACTGTTCAGTGATGTCTCCGTGATCGCGAGGGTGAAAACTGGTAGCGATCACCGAATGGTTAGAGGCACACTGAACCTAAACGTTAAGTTGGAGTGGTCTCGTCTGATGAAGTCAACGCTCCGTCCCCCTCGTGCTCTAATTCAAAGTCCCGAAACCTTTCAGCTCGAGTTACAAAACCGTTTTCAGTGCCTAGAAGACTGCAATGAAGTGGACGATATGAATGACAAGCTCGTGGAAACTGTCCATGCGGTCGGAGCTAAGTTCTGCAAGACCCGCCGCGGAAGAACACAAAACCTCACCGATCACACTCTTAATCTCATGGCTGTTAGACGGGAGATGAAGCTACATTCTTCAACAGATTTGACAGCATACAGGCATCTGAACAGACATATCTCCAAATGCATGCGGCGGGACTTACACAACTTCAATACAGCTTGTATTGAAGAAGCGATCGAGCGGAACAAAGGCTCAAAGTCTTTGCCAGAGATCTGTCTGCCAGAAAGAGCCAACTGTCAAAGCTGAAGATCGAGTGTGGCAGCATCGTTTCCGGGACACCTGAGATTTTGAGTGAGATTGAGAGGTTCTATGGGCAGCTGTACACGTCATCGTTGGAGCCACACGCAAGTGTGAGTAACGATCCAAGAGCGAGTCTTATCCGACACTATTCCGAAGATATCCCGGACGTCAGTCTGAGCGAGATTAGAATGGCTCTCCAGCACCTTAAAACGGCAAGGCCCCAGGCGAGGATGGAATTACAGCGGAGCTTCTGAAAGCGGGTCGAAAACCGGTACTTGAAGTCCTTCAGAAGCTCTTTAATTCCGTCCTCCACGGTGGCACTACTCCGGAGGCGTGGAGCAGAAGTGCGGTGGTCTTGTTATTCAAGAAAGGCGACAACGCTCTCTTGAAGAACTACAGACCGATTTCCCTTCTGAGCCGCGTCTACGTGCTGTTTTCGAGAGTCATTACGAATCGTCTCGCACGCAGACTGGACGACTTCCAGCCTCCCGAACAAGCCGGTTTCCGAAAAGGCTTCAGTACCATAGACCACATACATACCCTGCGGCAGATTGTACAGTAGACAGAGGAGTATAATCTGCCACTTTGCCTTGCGTATGTGGACTATGAGAAAGCCTTTGATTCCGTCGAAATTTGGACGGTGCTGCAGTCCCTTCAGCGGTGCCAAGTTGACTATCGGTATATCGAAGTGCTGAAGTGCTTGTACAGTAGAGCTACGATGGCTATCCGAGTACAGAATCATAGTACGGAAACTATCCAACTGCAGAGAGGTGTAAGACAGGGTGACGTTATATCCCCGAAACTCTTCACCGCTGCATTGGAAGACGTTTTCAAGCCACTGGACTGGAAAGGATAAGTATTAACATCAATGGCGAGTACATCACTCACCTTCGATTTGCCGACGATATATTCCTTATGGCAGAATCGCTGGAAGACCTAAGCACTATGCTCAATGACCTCAATAGTGTTTCCCAACGGATAAGTCTTAAGATGAACATGGACAAAACAAAGATCATGTGGACATTAGGTCCATGTGACACCTATGCCGGTAGTTGTTGGGAGCACTAAGCTCGAAGTTGTTGGCGAATATGTTTACCTGTGACAAATAGTCCGACTAGTTAAGTCCCAACTTCGACCGAGAGATCAATCGACGGATTCAACTCGGCTGGGCAGCGTTCGGGAAACTACGAAACATCTTCTCGTTAGACATACCTCAAAACCTGAAAACGAAATTGTACAAGCAGTGCGTGTTGCCAGTGATGACTTACGGATCTGAGACTTGGTTGGAAGCTTAAGGTCGCTCAGCGAGCTATGGAGAGGGCTATGCTCGGGGTTTCTCTGCGTGAAAAACTTAGAAATGAGTATATCCGCAATAGAACCAGAGTAACTGACACAGCCCAACGGATTAGTACGCTGAAGTGGCAGTGGGCCGGCCATATAGCTCTAAGAACCGACATCCGATGGGGAAGAAAGGTTCTCGAGTGGCAGCCTCATACCGGTAGGCGAAGTGTAAGGCGACCCCCCACTAGATGGAGAGACGACCTGGTAAGACATGCAGGAAGTCGATGGATGCAGGTGCCTCAGGACCGTGCTTTGTGGCATTCCTTGGGGGAGGCCTATGTTCAGCAGTGGACTTATGAAAGGCTGTAATGATGATGATAATGATGAACTAATTGTTTTTAAGTAATCAATTAAACTAACAACTTAACGCTTGTTACAATAAATTTGTACGTACGAGACAACCAAATTACAAATGTTTAGCGACGCGTAAAAAAATATCGAATTATTGAATACGCAAATGTGACTTTTATTAGCATGTAATTACTATTTGCCGTTTTATTTCATAATCGCACGAATTGTTGTTTCGCAACTGTGGTAATAATCATGCGGAGATTAGTGATCGTTACATCGGTTGCCTCGCACCTTAGAACACTGTAGTTATAGTCGCCGGTCTTGTCTGATTTTAAGCGAATATGTATGTAATCATCTATCTATACCTTTGAAATCACTATCGAGCCTTTCGAGGGAATGAAACTTTCAGTTAAATAGTGTTTTTAAATTGACCACATACGACAATAATAATTGCCACTATAATCTTTATTTATTTCTTAACCTTTCAGATTCAAACGGCATTAAATGTGTATTAAGATAACACTGCTATTTAGTATTTACTTTTTTCCTTTTACGACTGTTCAGAAATTTTTATAATTTTCGTTTTGTGGAATAGGAAATATTGGTAGTATTTTAAAACCTATAATTGAAAATAGAATAGTTCTGTTAGTTAACAAGTTCGACCACCTGTTTTTTTTTAGGATTATTTTGCCAGAATGTTTTAATTAAAAGCTTAAAATTAGGAAGCGTTTGATAACCTCTAAACAATAGTAATAAAGAGTAAATTATTATCTATTAATTGGAAAAAAGCAAATATATTAACCTCTTGACTCGTTTAAGTCGTGTAGTTCAAAGGGAACCAATCGAAATTTGTTAATAATCTTATTAAATTTCGCAGTATCAAAGTTTTTCCATTTAATATTCTGCTGCTCATTGTTGTTGATTTCTTATAAAGATTCATTATCATAGTTCTATAACGATCCTAATAGAATGGGTAGCCAGAACCACACGATCGATAATTTTAAAGAAATATTATTTGGGAGTTAATTAATTGGAAGTTATTTTAGTAATTGTTAATAAGTGTTTGTTGTAAGTTTTTTTTTTTTTATATAGGGTAGGGTGACAAACGAGCACACAGTCCATCTGATGGTAAGTGGTTGCTGAGGCCCATAGACATCTACACCTATCCTCGTTTGCGAATCAAAATGCAGATGCGTTGTCACCCGTGAGGACTAAGATGGAATGCCGCTTTTCCAGTAAAAAGGGTCTCCGGTTCTCTACACTCACCATACGAAAGACAGCAGTTTCAAGCTGCTATTTTACGCTGGTATTATGTGAGAGCGTGGTCCTTCCCCGGTCGAGCCGACCCATTCGTGCTACAACTATACTACTAATATAGCTGCAGCATGGCTCTACCACATATAAAATTTCGCATATTATTTAGTTCTTCATTACACGTTACGTTTTAACGTTACATAATTACCACCACTAAATGTTTGTAAGTTTCAACTGAATTTTTTTTACAGCTAAAACTTCTAGAAATTATCATTTTCTATTATTTATCAAGTATATTTTATTTATACATATTAATAAAGTTTTTCTTTGTTAATCGTATCAACTAGCTTTTTTATTATCATATAAAGTTAGTTACATTTTAATATAAAGTTCTTTTGGAAGGAATAGCCTTAGGCAATATAAGAAATAGGGATTATTTCCCCTTCGATGTACCATATAATTGCAATTTTGGGATCGGGTCCAAATTAATTAATTAAAAACAATCGTCTTCTTATTATGGGTGAAGGCCTTTTTTCAGTAATGTATGGCAGCTTTAACCTTTCTATAATATTGACTGTTCAGAAGTCGTGTTATAATAGTCGGCTACAAAATAAAGTTAGTCTACGTTTCACCTGTTCTCAGCTTCCTCTCATTGCTAAAAGGGTTTTAGTGCAAGGAACTATCCGCCGCGCTGATGCAATGCGTGTTAGCGGATTTCACATATCTTCGAGTTCATTTTTATATTCCTCAGATATGCCGGTGTATTTACAGTGTTTTCTGTAATCGTCGGGTACGTGGTAAATCAGCATTTCATTGTGCACGTGATGGTAACTTCAGTTCATATACATCTACATCTGTCCTCTCTTAAGAATCAAATTGCAGATGTGTAACCCCGAAAACCCCTGAGGACTAAGATGAAATGCCTTGTTTCTAGTAAAAAAGGGTCTTTGTTTCTGTACACTCACCACACAACACACTAAACACAGCAGCATCAAGCTGCTATTTTACACTGGAACACAGTGCCCATTCGTGCTACAACTATAATATAGCTTCAGCATTACTCTACCACGTATATTATGGTGCCGGCGGCACACACTACCTAGAACACTACCACGGCTCAGTCAGCTTTGTATAAGAGTGGATGAATATGGAGACGGGTCCAACAGGCGTACAGCTGCCTGCCGGCCACGGTGCTGGCGTCGTGCGTGGAGAGCGTGTGGTGCGGCGGGGGCGGCGGCCAGCAGACGCAGCTGTCGCGCGCGCTGTGGCTGTGGTGCGGCGCGCTGGGCGCGCGCGTGTGGCTGCCGCTGCTGCCGCGGGACGCCTCGCGCCGCCCCGACTCCTCGCGCCACACCTTCATGGCCAAGCGCATCATGCTGCCCTTCCATCTTAACATATACCCGTTAAGTAAGTTCTCTACTGTAAGCTTTCATCAACTACAATAGAATAATGTTTCTTAATTCACCGATTTTATATATTAGTAATGTTTATACATATGTCTTACTGAAAGTATTTTTTTACTTTTAGTACTGGTTCGCAAAAACATCTGTACTGGGAAGAATTAGCAAGAAACACAATTTTATTTTCAAATTGACCTTATACAATAAAAATAAGTTGACAATTACTTACAAAACTCAAGGGTATTAATCACTATGCATTCATTTATGCACAATGCATCTATATTTATATAACCAGCTTAATTATCCTTTCAGTTAACCACCTAAATATAACCTAATTACCGCTTTGTGATATATGATATAAATGTACGCGTCATTAGGGTGGCCGAAGAACCACCCCAGCCGCATCTTAATATACTGCCGCTGATATTACAAGATATGTGCAATATTGTATTAGACACATCGTCTGAATATCATTCAGGCCGGTAGTAGAACGGTGCCGTTTAGTAAAAATAAAAATACTAGACTCTTAACTAAAAGGCTAATTAAACTAGTTGGCTGCGACATAATTTATACCGGGTGTTTTTGAAGCGCTCTCGAAAACGGAGGCAGTAGATAGTACCAACGATACCTTTGATAATGGGTCAGAAAAAAATATCATCTTTTCGCAACGTTTTATTAACTTTATTCACATTCCATCATGTTGGTACAACTAAATAAAACGATAGTTTCATAAAAATATCATGAAAATACCTAAACTTAATAAATCAGCTGTCTAGGGTCAATATTCTCGTGGACGCCAAACTCTTTTATCTAGCTCGGTACGAAACAATGCTTTAGGTATTACTACTCAATCTACCCTTCCCTTTCACACACGCGCTGCCGCCGCCCGGCCGACTCGTGTCGCTTCGCGTCAGCATTGCCAACATCTCATCGACCTACACGAGCTAAGCAGTCGGAGGTGGGGGTTTGCACACCCGCACTAGGACAGCGGTTAGATAGCTAGAAAATAACCTCAACAGAGGTAGTCTTGGGCATAGTCGGTCGCCATTGTGATCGCTCAATTTAGTTCGTAGTCCTATAGCGAACTAGTTCGTTCATTTAGTTCGTTAGTTCTTTTTTAAGTTTTCTGTAGATCTAATTAAAAAGGATGAGTTTATTGAGTGTCAGTAAATAAAAATTAATTGAATTTACTTCTAAAAAATATTAATGGTTTAATTAGTATATAATATACTACATAGTATAAAATATAATAAACGAAACTAAACATGTTTTTATATTTTTGAAGTGTATTGAAGTAATGAAAATAACACAACTGCAATTTATAGATTACATGTCGCTAATTAATATATAACAAGCCTCAATATAACGAATTCCTCGATTTAACGAATTTTTCGAAATCCCCTAGAACGGCCTATAAGAGCTAATGCAAAATATAATTCTACTTTACGAATAGATTTTCTCAAACACATCTTTATAAGACATTTTTAATCATTGCAGAATATATATAGTATTATTTATCTCTATTTAACCAATTTTTTCAACTTGAAATCTTTACATAACATATCCTATCAATTATTCCCACTTAATTCCACAATCTGGGGGCACGGTAGTGCCCCCGCCAAGTCGAGCAAAAAAGCGGCACGGCCGTACTATCCTTTTCTCGAAGCAGTTCAGGCCATTTTCGAAACCCTATAACTTCGTTGTGGATAAAACTAGAAGCCTGAATTCAATAACCAAGTAGGCATTGTATAAACTCGGTATATTTCAAATTTCATCAAATTTGAACCAGTAGTTTAAGAATTAGAACTAGTCGAAGTTCCTTATTTTGTCACTCACTGACTGACCGATCATCAAAACTCTAAGACACTTCTAACAGACACAGAGGCTTCAAATTTGGAATACAACTATTGTTTAGTAAACAAATCAAGGAAAAATTAAAATATTCTGAAATTTCGGTCCAGTTTTCGAGATACACCAACTGCATAAATAACATAGTAATCCCATATAAATATATAGGATTACAAAGTTATATTTGCAGTGAATGAATCAGTATATTTATATATGTATAATATAATGGAATAATAAGTGTAGACCTAGATATAACTATCCACAAAAAGAAACGAGATGCCATCAAAAACATGACTTGTAAAAAAAACCAAGTCTCGCAACTCAATTCTTTTACCGTAAAAAGTTGAGACATCCATGTAACACCAAGTCGGTAAATTTATTCAGTCCCTACTTAAGGGTCATTCTCTCTTAAGTTATTACGTAATTAGCTAAACTAACATCATCTTATAGTAACCATATCAATATTAAAATCGTTTTATGTTTTAAATAAATAAATTGACTTGGCAATCGCACTAAACAATATAATTTAATATAATATGTATTACTTGAGAGATACATTGCGTTTTCATGCGATGGCCAAGTCAATCTATTTAAAACATAAAAGATTTTTAATATTGATATGGTTACTATAAGATGTTGTTAGGTTAGCTAATTACGTAATAACTTAAGATAGAAGGACCCTTAATTAGGGACAATAAATTTACCGACTTGGTATTACATGGATCTGACAACTTTTTACGGTAGAAGAACTGACTTGCGAGACTTGGTTTTTTTACAAGTTATGTTTTTGATGGCTAAATCATGTCCTGACAGGTTCAGATACATACATGACAGGCAGATGACTATTTACGTAATGTTGAGATTAATAAACAAGTTTTACCTTGTTAAAACGAATCGTAGTTCCACCTAACTTCTATATAACAAACTTTATTATAACGAATTACTTGGTATAATAACGAACACTTTCTAATGCCATTCAGTTTCGTTATATCGAGGTTGCACTGTATTCGAGTATTTGTTAAAATTAGTAGAAATAGAAATGTAAAATTTCAATTTTGAATAAACTTATCGTAAAGTCGAATTGAGAACAAAATTTGTTATTTGTTGTGAATTGTGCTCTAATAAAACTTTTACTATAGACTATAAATTATACACTTTAATAAGAAACTATGGTAATAACAGTAAGAGTAAAAATAAATCAGTCGGTTAGTCATGCAGCGCTACTCCATAAGGACGTCAGAAAAATTAATATTTAAAGAACTAAGAGCGAGATTGTCGACGAACTAGTTCGCATAGTTCACCTAAAAGAGCGCTCTTCCCACCTAGGTCGTTCGCGAACTACCCAAGACTAAACAGAGGGGACATGATGATTGGTAACAGTACCAAATCATATACCAACATCATCCTCATTGTAATGTCGGAACTCGGAAGGTGCTGAATGAAGGAGACGTGTTGCTTGTACAAGAACTTTAATTATACTGTTCCCTATTCTATACTTAATACTAATTTTATAAATGTATATTGTCGGAGGTAAAGGGGAGTCTACAGGGCACTACACCTCCCACCGACCAAAAAATAAAAAAATTAATGATTACATTTTTTTTTATAAACTTTAAAAAATATTTTCTTATATTTTGTTTTACATTTCAAGATACTTTTATTTAATTCACTTTTTTATTAACTTTATATATTTACTTTATTCTTCGGTAACTATTATTTATTTTTCATTTTACTGCATGGCATTAAATGTCATTAATAATAATATTCATCAAATAATTGTGTCTTTTCTTTCACGTACACAGCTCGCGTATACATCATTAAGAACATGGCCAATGTATATAGTCCTTTCTATGATTCTCATTTCAGTTAATAAAATAGTTACGTACGAGTAACTTAACTTAGTCATAAAATTATATGTCATTTGAGAGAAGAATTATTTCCTTTACATATACATATTTTTAAGAATCGAGGCTCACTATTTAATCATATATCATAAATAAACTATTTAAATCCCTTAAATGCTTTCCTAAAAGAATAATTTCAATATATTATAAATCTTATAATTTACTGAGGTCATTCAATTTAACCAAAAATTTAATTATTTCATTTCATATTAAGATGAACAGAACAAAGAAGTCAATGTTAAGCCACGTAATCATTTTCAATAACAATAACATAATCACATAACAAAAGACAGATCAAAATACAAATTGCGATCCCAGCTGCGTAAGCGATTTGTGACACTTTTGTTTTCAATTCCAAAGTACGTTTATGGGAAAGTTTGCGATTACATCGTATGATGTTATTATTACTTACATATATGGATACGTGTAAAATAATAGATTTATTTTTATGATTCTTATTTATACATAATTTTAGATAGTTACTTTAATTTTACATCCATCAAAAAAAAATTCGTTATTTTTTTTTTTTTAATTACAATTTCTGGGAGTATGGTATTTACTATATCGTTTACAGAAAATAATTGAATAATCACTGTAACACATATCAACTTTACACAACAAAACATTAAAAATTTAAACATTCAAAAGAACAATTTTTGTTTTTAAGTAGGTTATTACATAAATTAAAGGTACTTGCTTTTATAAAAGAAAAGAAAAGCTAACACTTATAATTAATACTTAATAGTTTTAACTCTTTTCAAATTGAATCTTACATTTAAATAAAATTTACTATAGGAGAAAAAAACATGTGATATAGAGATATAAGGAAATGTGTCAATGAGAAGGACACGTTTTGCTTACTCGGTTCAATAGTTTAGCTTGATTTATTTTTTATTTTTACATTTAGTTAACTATTAGGTATTTATTTAACTTCTTTATCAGATATTCTTTATTACAAAATTTTACCATAACTTTCAAAATGTTTTATTATGAATACACTTAAAATGTATCTGAAAATTCTGGCATTAAACACCTTTTAATTTACGTATTAAATATTTTACATTGCATTGTGTCATAATAAATTTACATACATTACCAAGTATTCATTATTATAAATGTTATTTATCATTAAAAGTCGTAAACGCATTAATATCTTTTTAAGATTACATGACTCCTAAGAAATGTGTTTATCTCATTTGAAATATAGATTTATGAAAACATAGGTTATTACACAAATATAAGTTTATATAGCAAA